GGGTTATAACATGTGTTCTTAGATAACTATATTTACTGTACTATGAATGACTAAATCTGGACTACAGTATGCACTTGTGCTTTGAACCACTGCGGATTTCAGAAAGTTTACAAGTAACTTCATGATAACTTCTTATGTAGTTTTGGAATTTTTAGTTAAATAATGCAGACACTAAAAACTAGTGGAATTTAACAATGAAAATAATATATTTGTAATATCCTCATGGGTAAGAAAAATTGAATTTTCTGACGTTTTATGACTTAGTGTAACCTATTTCTTCAAAGAACTAATAAATAAACAAATTAAACTCAATCATATTTAACCAGTACAGCTGAATAAAGTAAAAATATTGAGCGCAGTCAGTAAAAAACAGGTTTAATCAAGTTAATGTAAGTTAGAACTAAATTTGTGTGTTTGTGATAATGACATGAGATGTGGATAGAATTCGATATGGTAGCTGGGATAAAGGTTCAAGTTGAATTGATGGTAAAGCCTTCTGCTATACTGAGAAAAGCAAGATATAGTAATACATGGAAGGCTTCGGAAACTCATCTTTCTTTATAGTTGAGAAACCCGTTTTAGGTTGTTTTAATATTTTTAGAATCGAAACGTCAGAAAATTCAATTTTTCTAGTCGTTAGGATATTACAAATATATTATTTTTTTACTAACAGTCTACCCAATACTCAATTTAAAATTATCAAGTCATACCTTGGTATTTATACCTACTGCAAGATTCAAGGTAAAACCACGGTTTATACTACAAGGGAAATGTCGGACTATCTAAAGAATATCTGTTAAAATATTTCTCTCATGTTTTGTAACCTCAAGCGAAAAAGTTAGGCAAAATAATGGTGAAGCTGGAACTGAACCAGTTTCCATGCTATAAAAATTAAGAATTAAATGTAAAGTAAACTTGGTAGAATTTGTGAACACTGAGGCTATTGATGTGTGCATGAGGTATGATTGTAATTTAGCACCATAACAGAATACATACAATTAACAGTGTAAATTAAAATGCTTCTTGACAGAATGTATTGAAGTTTTGTATGACAGCAGCCACCCATCATATCTCCCACACAAACCTGAGAAAAACCAAATAAGTATCGAAAAAAAAGATTATTAGTGAAAAAAACAACTATATACCAAATGTATTATAGTCATCTGACCTCAATTTATGTTATGTAAAATATGATTTGAACCTAAAGGATATATTAGTTAGTAAGCATTTATTTTCAGTTCAAATATCAGGCTTAGTTGGTAATAGTTATGTTATTCTGCTAATTTTTAATGTTCAGTTATTAAATAGAAATGCAGTGCATAAAAGCAATGTGGATTAAATTGTTAGTTCATACGTTAGTCACATATACTGATTTCTTGTATTACGAATTTTCATAATACCATAAATTTAATGTGTATTTATGAGTATATGGGCTGGTTTATCGAAATTTAACATATGATGAAGGCAAACAATATACTATAAACTTATTTACATAGATTAACCTTGTTTTAATTAATGTACATAGAAGTATGATAAGTATGTTGATTTTGGTTTCAGGAAGTGTGAACCAATACTTTTTCTTTAGAAGGTGTTTTGAAAATATGTTGAAATTTTTCTACAATAAAGTTTTGATTGAAGTTGTAAAGATCAACTTTTTAAATCCAAGCGATTTTCACTATAAATTTGATTGGCATTTAGGAAAAGATTCACCACTAATACAAACTTATGTCAAGGCATTTTAGTTCTGAAAGTAGGGAGGGTACTTTGCGTAACCCATGTGCTTAGGAGGCAAAACCCAGGTTAGCTTATAAACACAATTTTTCGATAGTAAACTGTGTTGAAAATTTAACTTGAGCAAATACCTTTCAGAGTAACTTATATTTCATTCAATGATTTAGTATATTGGTACTTTCATAACTTAGGCGAAGTTTACAAATGCCAAATAATATCGAAAGAACGCCAACAATTAATATTCTTAAATTGTTTGCTATTTTTATGACTGATTTCCCACCTAATTTTGTTTCCATTTTCACATATATAATAAAAATATAGCTGCTAGTTGTCTAGTTATTATGAAGTCCTTCTGACTAATTTAGTTTTATTTAAATTAATAACTGTTCCCTTTTTTATTGCGTGCATAAATATTCCAAGTAATGTTAAAACACTTATTAGGTCTCACCATTGTTTAATGAAGTTCACGTCAATCAATCACTGAATAATAACCATTATGTTTACTTTAGTGCTTAGCGCATTTTATACATTGATTTACATTGTGATTAAACAACCCAACACTGCCGAACAATTTGCTTGATATAAGACAATTGAAGGCAATTGACATAATACTACCAACACACTAGTTGGTGCTTTAAAGTAATATGCCTTTGTAACTCTCAAGGGACTGATGCTATTCATAGGCTTTTAACCGTCTGCAACTAGAACAATCAGGAATAATGCTCTCAGTGATATGTTGGTATGATGTCCTGAACGACTAAGAATTTTAGAGTTACTCGTTAATGGAATGATGATGTTTATATCAAAGTGATAATCGAATAATTTGCATTAAGTTTATCTGATAATATGAACTAAACTAACTAAGTAGTCCATGTATATTAGAAATAGATAAGTAGTTTTTCACAAACTATACACAAACTTTACAGTAGTTTTTAAATTTACATAAACTAGTTAGAGGTTTATAAAGATGAAGGTTTTGAATATGTGTAACATTATTTTACGCTTTTATATCATTGAAGTAGACTTCTTTTGTTAGTTTTAATGGGGTTCGAGAACACTATCCACACGCATGTCAACATTGGTCAAAAATTTAGGTTCAATAAATTGAACAAAACATGTTACAAAATGTATAAACAAACTTTACTATTTGTGTAAATAACGAGATGGGTGTTGAGTTCAAACCTCAGTAAAATTAGTGTCTAGACCTATAATTACACATTTCCCCACAATATCAATGGCTAAATGTGAAATCGCTTTATCGATCTTTTTCAGATAGTATGGAAAAACTTAGTAAGTTTATAAGCTAAGATTTTATGACATTTCATTAGCTCTAATAGTTTACAGAGATATACATGTAAATGCAAACAGAATGTAAATCAATTTCGTGGATTGGTTGAGGTTAGACACTAGTACCGTTGGATGCTGACTGGCTCAGTGGTCTCGTGGTTATGCGTTCGCGCGCAAGACCGAGGGCCATGGGTTCGAACCTCGCGAGTGGGGTCGTGGATGCGCACAGGTGGAGAGTCTCACTGTAGGACAAAACTGCCGTCCAATGCATCCAAGTTTTCAATGGTGGTCTAACATCAGTCAGTTCACGATCCCGATCAAAAAATTTCAAATATACTTGTTTTTAAAATATCGTTCATTAAAAAACTGTGTCTTATAAAAATATAAAAGTAGTGATTAGTACTTTGCTACAAATCATGGATTGTATCATTTATTGATAAGATATAGTAACCTAGATAGTAACAACTTTGGATTTTTTTGGTCAAAAAACAGTAAGTTATATTTAAAAACATTAACTATTCAAAAACTTTCAAAGTTTTAATGGAACCTTTCGTTTCTGTAGAACCGATCTCTTCTAGCTCACTTCCATCAAATCTGTTTTACGCTCTACATTTATAAACTATATTACGTACAAAGAATCATTTAGCTAAAAATCATAGTACAAAGACAGTTTAGGCATTTCATCAATTTTTTTTTGTTGATGAAAATAACATATAACAAAAAAAGAAACATAAAAGCATCGTTTAATTCTTATCTTGTGCTAATTTACATTTAATTTACCGGCAAGACAATAATTTATGGTAGCAAGTCTCAGATTTTGGCGCAAAATTCATTCATCTATTTGACTAAATAGAGTTCTGATATATTTAGCTGATGTTAGTTTGTGATAAAAACTCTAAATCTAATTCCTAACCCTAACACCAACAACTATATATCATAATCTTTATTCTTCACACAGTTTGGTAACCCATATTTAGCTCTAATAATTTGTTGAACATTCTCAAGGTTATTTTAGAGTCACTCAAAAGTCAACCATAAAGTATAGTCTAACCAATTTACCTTAACTACTCATTCAGAGTTTATTTGATAGTTGATTGAGATAAAATGCTTTACATTCTAATTAAAACTTGAAATTATAATTTTATCTAGAATTTAATTATTTGACATTTAAATTGATACAAAATCTATTGAGAATAGAAAAGCTTTATGTATTTAACTTTTATTTTAATTCACTAATTATTACTGATTGATAAATTATTTGTTGTTTTCCAATCAAACAGATTTCTTTCTGACAAATAGATGATGGATAGATAGATAGACAGACAGACAGGAATATTGCGATTTACAGACACATGGGTAAATATGATTATATTTTATTTGAGTAAATTGTTAGTAGTATTTTCAAGAATTAGTAACTACTTTGTTTGCCTTTTAGAAAATATTTTCAGGTGAGTTACATTATCGCATTATTATTATTTTTTTAAAACTGTATTCCTTATAAAAGTATATTGTCTAATTTTATGTAAACTAATTAATTTAAGAACTCCGAGTGTAGCTCTTCTAGGGCTACTTCCGGTCCCAAGTTCAGGTAAAGAAGGAGAGTTTAGTATGGAGTCAGCATTTCGATTCTGAAGAAAATAATTTGTGCTAAAAAAAACGCTAACCAGAATGAATACATCTTTAGTTAATTTAAGAAAAGAATCAGTAATAGTATCCTGGTTACATGGATTTTATTGAAAAATATCCTGTATCACTACAGTTAAGAGTTGAATTATTAATTAATTCAGGAGTATTACGGCTGTTGATTGTAAAGAGGAATGGTTGATTACGTTGATCCAGTAATTTAAGTATTTTTGTTCCATGCATTGATGATTAAAAAAACATGAGACTCATATTACGTTAAAAAACTAAGTGAGAACTACAAATATGTTAATCACAGCTGTTTTCATTTATTTACAGTAAGTGATGGAAGGAAGATTTACTGATTAACGAAATTGACTTTTTTTCATTGAACCTTATTTTGGAATCTCATTCCATCTGCTGTTATATGAAACGGACAGTAATTTCTTTGTACGTTAATTTAAGGGATGCATTAAAATTAATAGTTAGTTATTTAATTCATTTTAAGGTATAATTATAGAAGTTTATTATCTATAGTGTTATGAAACTAAAATGTAAAATATAGAAATAATAAAGTATGGTTATCATAGAGGAAGTTAAACTATCACATTTTGAATGATGATAAGTGTTATCATAGGGTCTTGATTTCTTATCCGTTTAACCCTTTTTACTGTTTTGCCAATTTAGTTTTCAGATTTAGATTGAATTTTATTGAAGGGAATCACAGATATTCAGCTCGTTGTTTAAAGTATTAAAAACCAGACTAGAGAGTTTCATGTATTTTTGATATATTGAAATGATAATGCTTAAGTTCATTATTTTGCAATACTGACTTCAGTTAAAAGTGTTATATTGTTACAGATAATTACATTTCCAACTATGTAAGCTACATACAATATCGTATATATTTTACACCATAGAAAAACAAATTAGCATAAAATCAAGTATCTTGACCTACACAATAATAAAGTTCGGTTAGATTTTAGACATTAAATATTTAAACTAAAATTTTATAAACAATATTACTTCATACCTAGTGTTATGTTTCAAGTGAAAAACTGGGGAACACATTATACCTTAATTAGAACTTTATTATTAAGTGACCACTGTGAGCCCCAATAATTCTAAAGGAAGAATAAAACTAATCCTTAGATTTGATGGAACTGTATCACAATTCTACCACTGTGATGATGAATATGTTTGTCGATAGTTTATTTCTTTGTATACAAAGAAAATCCTAATAAGTATTCTTTGTCATATATATTTTTTAGTGAAATCAATGTATACATTTTGTTATACAGTTATCTAACCATGAGATTAGAAGACATATCTGGTCTAAAAATAATAGATCAAAGTCTTTTGCTGATCTATGTTCTGTTTATGGATAATATGAAATGATAATGTTGGATAAAGGAATTTTGTAATCAATGTTTAGGAGTTGCACTAATACCAACTTTGTTTTTTAGAAATTTAGAAATTTACATTTTGTGTCTAAAAAACTTGAGTTAAGGAATTTTCACGAATTATTCTATAATCTAGCACATTCAGTTGAGGGTTAGTACTTGTGAAAGTTACACAAAGTTTCAAATGCTAACTTCATTTGGGAAATTCACAATGTTCATAAAATTTGACCAGATATATACCTAACAACATAAGAACATCATAACGTGTTACTGATCAAGAGTGTTCATCCTTATTGTTTTCGATTGAAAAGATACACCTTTGAAAGACAAAGGTATTTACTTACGGTCATGCAATGTATAAATAATATGTGTCTGAGTGATTTTCTAGTACATATGACTATTTGAGTTTTAAAATGAAAATCTAAATTTGGTTGCTTAACAATCACTGTTAAGTTTATACATATATTTCTAGTGAACAGAACATATTTTTATCGGTACTTACAGATTAAACATTAAGTACGTTCCAGATTTATTCAATTCTTCATACAAAACAATTTTCAAGAAAAATGTTTCGCAGTAATGTTGTTTGAATAAGCATTTATAGATTCCATAAAGTCGCCTTCCTACATAATGATAACTATTTGGATAGTAAACAAAAGGAACTATAGAACTAGTTCAGTGTTGTTGCAGTATGCCTGAAATTCAAATACTGTCTTCATTTTGACATATATGATTTAATTAAACACTTATTTAGTGAAACATATCAAGTTATTTGACCTTATTTGCATCCAGATCTGTTAGGAGCAATTTAAAACATACTTAATATCGCCGTGCTAATACATCATGGTTTAGTGAATTCTGTATTGACTAGGTTCTTAAGAAAGCATACTGAAATCGAAAAACACCTAAATAAAGGTATTTTCTGTTTCTAATAGTCTATCCAGAGGTGATTGAGGCTATTAAAACAGTTTTAAGTGTTCTTATAAGATTTACTTCTGGTTGTTACCACTAATTATCTAAAGTTATTTTATCCATAAAACAAATATAAAGGCTTATAAAATCGATGGATTGTGGCTAGCAGCGGAAATCAGAGTTCGGGACTTGTAAGCCGGATGTGCCTGCATTCCGGAGTTTATGATAACTTCGGATTTCAAACACAGTACCTTTACATTCAAAAGTCAGACGCATCATCCACTTAGCTACTGAATCCAGTTAGCTAATAACTTGTCCAACGGATATAAGTTTAAATTAATTTTTTAGTTGTTCCGTGTTGATATTGTTCTAATTTTGATCGGTCTTAATTGGCATATGTACATCATATGATTATTGCCTCGATACAACTATTTTGTCACAAATGTTTTAGAAGTTCACTGACTTATGAAACAGTATATACTTCCACCTCTAGTCCTATTCAAATTATCGACTATGTTTTCTAGACTGTTTTGATTTATTTTACTAAAATTTGATCTATTACAATTTTATTAACTTTAGATCGAAATCATGTCACTGAATGATGTTATATTAGATCATGAATCAAATCAATGCCTATTTGTATGCACTAAGTGTGGAGCAGAATATGTTACACGCGATATGTTAGCTATGCATATGATGGATAGTGCACGTGCTGGAATGTGTATAGAAACTGATGCAACAAATAATGCATCAAATATGAACAATAGTACTAATCACAAGATAACTCTCTGTGAAGATCTACTTGATTCAGATAAGCTTATTACACAGAAACATGATGGAATATCAAACAATTTTGACCCTTCATCATATCGTTCTTCTTTATCAAGTTGGATAGGTGAAAGAACTGAACCAATATTTAATATATTATTTAATCAACTCACTTTACCAAATTTATATTCTGTACAAAATTCTACAACAAATAATAACAATAATAACAGTAACGATACAACCAGTCTTCATACAAATCCGAAAAACCGTAGATTCTTATCAGGATACGAAGGTAATATACCTTCTCTTAGAGGATGTCAAATAAATCCAGATGATTCTTCATCATATATAGATATGCAAAAAAGTGAATGTCTACATAATCTACTATTGAATTCAAAATATCCAACAAATAATATTCCGCCAAATATAAAGATGAATTTAATTCGGTCTTTAAAAGTTAATGAAACGAATGTATTTCCAAAATCAACAATAAAAGACAGTGTTAGAATTATAAATGAAAAATCTAACTCAAACGATAATAAAATGAAAATGAAAAATGTTCCTAATGAAGTTGTAACAAGTCAAACATCAACATCATCAGTATATTCTTTTATAAAGTCTCTTAATGGATGTAATCGTGATATTTCAAAATCATTGAATTTCTCATCAGGCACATCATTAACTAATGAAGATCAAAAATTTATAAATAATGTTCAATGTAAATCTCATAGAGAAAATCAAGATGTTAATAGTCAAGAAAGTTTGAAAATTGCTATTCTAGATTCAAATGTAAAATGTAATGAAAATCATAAAGTTTCTAAAGGTAGTGAGTTGTTTGAAGATGTTAAGAGATATGAGTTTATTGATCAACCCCTCACAATTAAAAGAAGTCGATCATTGCCCTCACCACGAGGATTAGGAAATCAACAAAAAAATTGTGAAATGAATTATTCTGTTTTGGAAGGAAATAATCGATTTTTGAATACAAGTAATATGAACGACGTTGATGGTGTTTTTCATAAGGTGAAGAGAATATTTTTAAAGTTGAGATGAGAATAATTTAATTTAATTTATAGTCTAGTAATATCTTCTTACTTGTAATACAGTATACAAGTTTTAAAATATGCTTAGACTCTTTTGTGGTGGTAACCTATATCATGTTGTATAGTCATTATTGATAATTGAAATCGTTCTGAAAAGTTTCAATTCAGTCATCAATTCGAATGATATTAAATTGCGGTTAACATTTTTTAAAGTTAACTTGATTGGAACCAAGTGACAGGAAGCCTTAGACTTAGTTTACTTGTTAGTTGGGTAAATATTGTCAACTTATATCAGACGTGTTTATCCTTGGTACAGTGGCGTTCATGAGCGCTAATTTGTAATTAAGTGATACATAAATTTATCAGTATTAACTTATTTCAATTAATTTCTGTTATAGTGATTAAGGTGTAAATATATTTTAATCGCAAACCATTTATTTCATATCTAACCAATGTTTTCAGTAATGCAATGATAACAGAATGAATTAGATTATATGTTAATGATATATCCAGGTGATGAATATTAACTAGCAGGAAACATAGGTTCAAAGCTTTCTGCTGACAGCCTCCAAACACCTTACATCGTTTAAAAATCCACTCAGAAATATAATTTGGGTCATCTTTTCATTTATACATGTATATTGTCACAAGTGTATACAGATTTGCAACGCATGGTTTGAAGCGATAACACTAAAGTCACTTAGCTTGAATAAATTTATGAAACACCTGTCTTCATCAACTTATTCTACTCATCACATCGCATTTTTTAATCTTAAGACCAATTCGATTATTGCTATTGTATGCTTAACTTTTTCTCCTGCGTATAACCTACTTTATATAAAGAACCATGATCGAGTTAATGATGTAGATAACAGAAAAAAACAGTGACATATGAATTATTTTACATTTCAAGAATCTGTATTGTTCATGGTCTTCACAACTGATACCATTTATATATGCTTGTTAATTGGACTTGATCGTGTCATCCATATTTCATTTTACGACTAGTCATGACTGACAACAACTGTAGCAGATTATTTAATTTTTACAATATAACTATGGAATGAGTATATTTGTAGAATACTAATGAACAACCTGGAAAGAATATACAAACTTGAGTTAAAGTTAGCCAGTTTATTGGTAAATATCTTCAGTTATGGATATCGACTAATATTTAGAAAAATATGCTTATGTTGCTACTAAATTCATCTGAATCCATTTGCATCTCAAAATTTCTGTTGTTGTTTTTTCCATTAATTATAAATAGACACGACGTGACCGCAGGTGCTATAAGAAGTCGGGGTTTAGAAATTTGCGTAAATTTGTAAATTACAATCGATCCAAGCTCAATATTCTGAAAAATTCACAGTTTGTATCTGAAATACACCATGATAAAGTAGGCATGAATTCAAACTGTTACAATGACAGAGAAACTGATACGAATAGTCACAATAATAATTTAAATGAAATGAACAATCATAATGCCAATAAAGTTGAACACTTTCAGCCAATTTTCCCATACATTTGTGAATATTGTCAAATTGGATTTGTTCAACAAGCCTTATATTGTTTACACATGGGAATGCATTGTGTAAATAATCCATTGAAATGTAATATGTGTGCACAAACATGTTTAGATGTTTATGACTTTATTGGACATACAATGCATTTTTGAGTAACTGATAAATTATTTATATTTAACATGCCAATTATTGATAAATGCTTATCTTTCAAATGTTGGTTTGTGGTTTTTGAAATCGAAAGTTACATAAGTCTCTTTTACCCCATTATGGTTCAATTATAGACAGTTGAACTTAAGTTGATGTTATTTATTGATTTATGAGTTGATAGTTGTAGTATAAGAAAGTAATGGAGACTATCTTGTCAACGTTTAGTTTATACTTTAATCGTAGTGGAATTGCTGATGAGTTTTTCTATGATGAGTAAACGAATACTAGAATTTTCCGGATATTTATTTTTACATATTGTTGGACAATGATAAACGTATAGGTAATTTATATAGTATATTATTAACAATATTAAGCGGATATATACCTCAAAGTTCAGTTAAACAGTCATAAGAATACCCATAAACACTGGTTTGGTGCATTTGCCTTCCCTACAAATAGATAAAAAAGCTGCTACTCGAAGAAGAGACTCAAGTTCCCCAATTCGCTTCTAGAGAGGAACAAAGTACTAAACGGATCAAGTGAGAAAACCGAAAGTGACAGGAAAATCATCATTTCAGAAATTGTTCAGTATGAGAAATAGACACAACTTGTGATATCAAATGAAAGACATACAAAAAGCATTTAACATGTAGTCAAAATTATACGAACAAGAATAACAGATGTTTGATATCTTACATATGGTTTAGAGGGACACTAAACTCTGTTTATGATAAGAAGACGATGATCATGACTGTGTTATATATTATTTCAATACACTTCGGATAATATGATCACACATATACCTTTTTATCATTTTACATGTGTGCATCACCACACCTACATAGGGCGGAGAAAATATGTACAAAATGGTTACAAAAACAAATAAACTAAAGTGATCTAATAAGAGTAGGTGATAAACATTCATCGTCCTCTCTTTTTAAACTTAGTTGAAACAAGTCATACTGACTCAAATTTTGTGACTCTGCACAAAAGTGTTAAAAGGCGTATACCAAGGTCTATTGGATCCTTGGGCATGTGAAAATTCAAACCCTTTCATGTGTTCGAAAACAGTTTATTCTCAGACTACATCCACCCTGGTAATATTGTTCTATTATCCAGTATGGTAAGCTTCAAGTTATTTTCAACATCAATCTCTTTATTGTCTTTGTTTCTTCTTACCTTCCACTAGTCCAGTAGACTTTTTAATTCTTCCTACATAAATTTTGCTAACAAGTATTTGTGTAATCAAAGTGATCGAAATGTATTGAGCACAGTCCCGAAAATCTTAGTCTTCTTGTTACACTATCTATTTGATGACATGAATTTAGTCAGCTCTACTTCTTTAGAAACAAAATACCATGTGTGAATGAACTTCGATAACCATTAAGCTTATGAAATCGGAAAAATGATCACTGCACTCCATAGTACGTGTTTAAATATTTTAGGGATTTTTAATTGTGTTATATTTCGTCGTAGCAGGAAGTAGTGAATTAATTGTATTCACGTGATTACCTACGATGACTTAATAACTGGATGTCAATTCTTTGATAATGAGTCGTGTAGTTCAATGCTTACCGTGGATCTTTTCTGTCCTTATAGCGATTTAATTATGTGAATAATTAAAACTGTACCAAATGTAAACAAATTTAGAATAAATAATTTAACTACTGAGTAACAATTTAAGTAGAAATAGCATTTACACCAAATGTTTTCATGCAGGCTAAATTAACAATTCACAATAATTAAAAGAGTATTAGGTCTTCGAAACAGTTAACTGGTTATTTTGGGTTCAATAGAATCCATTCTTTATATAGTCGGATAAGAGTTGGTGCGAAACGATTTTCAACACGCGATAACCTGGAATAAATATTACCATATTCACTGAACATGCTCTTTTTAATATTTTATAAAATCGTACTAGCTGTCATTTAACATGTATACACCAGAAAATTAACCACACTGTCAACGTATATAATAGCTGTACCAAAGTTGAACATCGATATGGCTACATTGAACCGAAATTTCATATAGATCTCGACTGATTATTGGTTACCGCTCATAATTAAGGTTTAAGAACGGTTTTTATATGATTAACAACTGTCTTTTGATATGGATAGTTACGATATTTAACAATAAAGATTATCATGATTGAGTGATAAGTAGCAAAGGTGAATAGATCCGCTAATTAAGGTTGTAGTGGTTAGTTGATTTATTAACTTGGTCCCACTTTTTTCTAATAATACTGAATTATGTAGTTTTTTTTGTGGTTTTAATTGATGATTAATTTTCGAGAGAAATGAGAGAAATCTCTGTGTGTAAACAATGCTGACAGATACATTTACTCTAAATTCTCAGGCCGTATTGGTATTAATCATCATAAAATTTATGTGTGGGCTGGGATTATTCGAATAATTTTTTTCTGGTTAGCGTTTGCGAGAACTCGAACCATTCCCCGTGCTCTTGACCTAGAGTTGTACATGGTCTACAAAGCAGTGGAGTAGCGTTAAGATCTGTATCCAGTGCAAAGATATAGGTTCATTCACGGTTTGATCCTTCAGTATCCTGGAGCCCATGCGCATCATCGGTTTAAAATCAATGTATTTCAACTACCACAGTTGAATTTCCTGTATCTCCCAACGTGGTTTAAGTAGTGGACTTTCGCTTTTCATCTTCTGACTTCTGGCAATAACACTGTGTCTGCAGGAAAAGATTACTTGACGGCAATTATAAATGTGGGGTCTTGTGAAAAGACACTTAGAGTGAATGTGGACCCCTCCCTACCTTTTACCGTTAAAAGACACCCAGGGGAACTAAACAGTAAATACCAATAAAATTACTGATAGATCGACGATCACGTGAAAATCATGAAATATTCTACAACTACTATAAAATAAAGAGAAGTGGAAATTTTTGTTGTCACATGTGTCTGTACTAATTATAGCACTTTAAAACACCTTAATTTAAATGTATAAAAAGAGTACTTATATAAATCTCAGAAAGCTTCTTTGTGTTTTTTTTCTTCTTTATCTATGAAAAAAGCAAAGAAAAGTATTGACAAATGTGTTATGACACAGTTAACATTAAAAATTAAAAGCAACTTTTACAAAATTGTAAGCAAATAAATTTATTCAAATTGAATTTCCTGTTTTGTGTTGCATTTTTTTAAAAAAATATTGAAACATATATTCATTATGTTAAAACACATTCGGTAATAATTTTCACGTGCATACAGTAAATAAAAATCATTACATCAGTTACAATAAATATATTTTCAATGTAAACTTGAAAATAGGGGTTACGTAGATAAATTTAACAAATTCAATAACTTCACTTTGATTAAAAATCTTTACTTTTATGTAGGAATCTATCTTGATAATGAAGATCATCAACTTAAGAAGATTTCTACATATGATATCACTAAGTATTGATGTAGGTTTCGTCTAGAAAGGTTCATTACTTTCTCAATTAATTTGATGGTTTTATTAGTTTGAATAAAACATATAAGAAGTTTGACTATTCTTTACAAAGTTATTAGAGCATTGCATGTGTTTTCATGTTTTCGTACTAACAACTGTGGTTATTTAGAGCGTTAAAGAATTGATTCGATGTCAGAAATCTCTAGAAATCTTATACATGTTTATTAGTATATACATCCAATGTATGAATTGATAGTAATTTGTTTTAATAAGTGATGAATGTAAATGATAAACTACTTGATTAGTTTATCAAAATATGTCGTCAGATAAAAAAAATATATTTCCATTAGATGTTATTGGGTCAAGATCATTTTAAAAGCTCAAAAACTTAAATTATAAATCCCTTATTTCACTACTGGTGTAATCTTAAGATTCCGGTTGTTTCGTACTTAACTTCGATAATCTGATTTAAGACCTAAAAATACACATCACTAAGTACAACTAAATATTTACTCTTCATGTATATCTAAATTATTATTCCAAAATGTTTTACTTTTGTGTTGGTAAGAATAAGAACTTTATTATTTGTTAAATAACTGGTCACTAGATTATTGTGAATGTATTTTATTTGCCTAGTAAAACAGATTAATAAGTGGGATGCTTATTTCCGTCAATGATATGACGGAATACTGATGGTCATTGAAGAACATTTGGATTGTAAAATGTTTATTCTGAAAATGTATATACTTATGTATGATGTTTTATTGCCTTCATTAGTTTTAATTAGTAGAAGCGATAACTTAACCAATACACATTAATCCTCCTCTATGAAAATACACAAGGTTTATGATGTTGATTAACTGATAATGTATAATAAACAACTATCTGGAGAGCTAAATATAAAATCTAACTATTCATATTTTAAGATTCTACACTATTAAGCGAATGGATATTAACGCGAGCTTAGATATTCAATAGTTGGCAGACCAATATGTCATTTAATATTGGTAGTTTGAATAGTGCCTATTTTTCTAGCTTCCATGTTTCAGAGACTTTAAGTTTAACATTTAATAATGACTATATTATTACTGATTTCGTGCTAACCTATTCCTCAGTACTGATCGAATTGTACCTAGCGAATAACCACAAATTTATATAACTATATAACCTCAATCATAGTATAGTTTCAAAGTTTGGTGGTTGGAGGCAGTTGATAGTGTAGTGAACAGAACACGGGTGGGGACAATCGAATGTATTTAACACACAATTACAGAACTTGTTAATAAAATCTAACAATCAAATAGTAAATACGTAATGTGCAAAATGTCCATCAATTGTCTCATAATGAATCAGACTTCATTGTTCATGCATTTTCATACAAATTGCATTCAGTTCCCATTCTTTAATGTTCGATCCTCTTGTTTCTCTGCTGCCAGACCTTCTGTTCACGACCAATGTCATCTACTACTTATGTCAATATAAGTAGCACACCACAGGCAGGAATTCTTGAGTCTAGATATAATGTTAACTGTCTTATAGTTTTCACCAACTAAAGAGTATACGAATAATCCAGTGACATATAGACTACTAATAAATTCACGAGTA